GGGTGGGGGGGAACTCTACCATCGGTCAGGTAACAGTGGAATCTTAAGACCCTAAGCATATACGACTCAGTTGACCAGTCCTTTCATCTGTAAATATATAATGCTCCTGGCGACATCACACGTGTTTGGTTTTCATCCCACCTCAGTCACTTCTCTTTCTCGATTTCTTTGACTGGTTCTTTTCTGACTTTTAAATATTGGTGTAGCTGAGGGCTCAATTCTAGACCCCTCATCTATTTGTGTCAATGCAGTCAGCCTAGGTAATGTGTTCCTGTAACTTGAAATCCCACCTGTCCATTGATGACCCCTCCCAAATCTCCATCATAATCCACAACCTCTTCTCAGAAGAAGTCCTGACTGGTATCTACCTCCCTTCTCTGCATCTCAACTTGAAAATCTAACTGAAGTATTTTATGTGGCATGACCAAAACAGAACTATCAATCTGATTCTTCCAAAAAAACTGATTGCTATGTTTTCCACATCATTTCCAAATTTAGAAAAAGCTACCACCTTCTACCTAATATCTTAAGTACCAAATATGAGTTATTCCTGATTCTTTTACTGTCATCTATCACCAAATCACATTGATTCTATGTCAGAAACATCGACCAAATCTGTGTGTTTCTTTTCTATGCACTGCTATCACATGACTCCAATCCACCTCCATCTGGATGACTAATTCCTCTTTCTGCTTCCACTCTTGCTTCATAACAATCCATCTTTACAAACCTTTTTCATAGTGTAAGTATCATCATGCTCCTCCCCTGATTAACACCCTCTAATAGCTTTCTATTACACTAATAAAACAAACATTTAAAACCTCTCTCTAGGAAAGCCTCATATTATCTGGTTCTTGCGTATTCTGATCTTCTCTCATGTCACGTTTCTTCTCACTTATTATGATGTAACTACACTAGTAATATTTTTATTTCTCTTTTTTTGTTGTTTTTTTTTTTGAGATGGAGTCTCACTCTGTCGCCCGGGCTGGAGTGCAGTGGCACGATCTTGGCTCAATGCAACCTCTGCCACCCGGTTTCAAGCAATTCTCCTGCCTCAGCCTCCCGAGTAGCTGGGATTACAGGCGCCTGCCACTGGTCCAGCTAATTTTTGTATTTTCAGTAGAGATGGGGTTTCACCATCTTGACCAGGCTGGTTTTGAACTCCTGACCTTGTGATCCACCTGCTTCAGCATCCCAAAGTGCTGGAATTACAGGCGTGGGCCACTGCGCCCTACTTTTATTTCTCAAACACACAAAACTTACTCTTGTCTCACAATCTTTGTACTAACCACTCCTCTGCCTGGAATATTTCTTCCCTTGAACTTCTGAAACCACCTTTGCAAAATTATGACTGAGACAGTGAAAGAGATCTATCTAATTTAATCAACTCCACCTTGCTTCTAACCTCCGAGCTGTACTTGTTCATTTCTGGGTGTAGGCTGAACTAACTTTGGGAAAAACTTAGTTTGTAGTTTAAAACAAAGATGATAACAGCCCTTTCCCAAAGCAGACCTCCTTCTTGCCTGGGGACTAGATTGCCTTGTAGGACTAACATTAGCCGCAAGATTAGAAATTATGGTTAGGAGTCATGCAGCTGGAGGCTACAAGATTCTGACCCTCCCTAAACTGCTCCTAAGATCAGTGTTGGAGATATTTTGCAGACCCCACACTGGATGGATCAGCGGGCACCATCCAGACGGATAAACTGGCTCATCTGATCTTGTGGCCTCCACCCAGGAACTGACTAACCGCAAGAAGACAGTTTCAATTCCCTGTGATTTCGTCTCTGACCCAACCAATCAACACTCTTGACTCCCCAGCTTCCCCCTACCCACCAAGTTCTTCCTAAAAACTCTGCTTTCTGAATGCTTGGGGAGGCTGATTTGAGTAATAACGAAACTCCAGTCTCCTGCACAGCTGGCTCTGCATGACTTACTCTTTCTCTATTGCAATTTCCCCGCCTTGATAAATTGACTCTGTCTAGGCGGCGGGCAAGGTGAACCCACTGGGTGGTTACACTTCACATTAGCAGTTCATGTAATTCTGATTTCAGCTTACATGTCACCTCCTCAAGATATTGTTTTCCGAGCCCCTAAGATAAAGTAGCCTCTCAGGCACTCTCCATTCTAGTCCATGAAACTGTATTTATTCTCTTGATAATCTTCATTGCTGCCTTCTGTCAATCACAAAATTACCCTTTTCCCTCAATCTTTACGATCACTGATGTGAGTGCCTTTGCATCTCTCACTCTCTGTCTCTTCATCTACTGAAACAGCCTCTGCATTCACCTGCTATTCTGTGAAAGGGAGAGTAGATTTCCATCATATGATGTCTGCACCAGTTCTGGTAGAGCTTGGTAAGTCTGAGTTAGAAATTTGGAAACCACTGGAGAGTGAAGAGCAGGGTAATGTCATGATTTGATATGTTTAAAAATTTTTTTTTTACTGACTCTGAAGCTGAATAGCAACTTTCAAAAGAATAAGCATTTTCCATTTTAATGAAGTCCAATTTATACTTTTTTCTTCCATGGATTGTTTTTGGTGTCACATCTATGAACTCTCTGCTTAGCCTTAAGTCTTCACTATTTCTTCTATGTTTTCTTCTAAAAAGTTTGTAGTTTTGCATTTAATATTTAATCTGTAATCCACTTTGGATTAGCTTTTATAAAGGAGGTAAAACTTAGGTTGAGGGCTTTTTTGGTTTTTTTTTCAGACGGAGTTTCGCTCTTGTTGCCCAGGCTGGAGTGCAATGGCGCAATCTAGACTCACCACAACCTCCACCTCCCAAGTTCAAGTGATTCTCCTGCCTCAGCCTCCCAAGTAGCTGGGATTACAGGCACCCATCACCATACCTGGCTAATTTTTTTGTATTTTTAGTAGAG